TAACAACATGCTAAAATTTGTACATTTCAGTATCTAAACCCACTAACCTTACAGTGGTATGTATCAAACCAACCCGACAGAAATGAAAAAGCCGGAAAACCTGACACGGTGGTAGTAAACGAATTGTGTACGTCGTTCCAGATAGTTAACTTCGTGTATAGGTGGTAAAAAGAGACTTAACGTATGTCGATAAAGCCATATCGCATCCGATGTACGTCAGGACTCTCACGTCAAATGATTTACGAGTTTAAAGTTATTTATCACAAAGATTTGAAAGTTGTAGAATAGCAGCTGAATCAGTTACCCGCGGGAGCGTAAACGAAATTTTATAACCCAACTCTACACCAATTTTCGATTTTTTTTCTCGATCGTTTAACTAGAATTCGAATCTAAGCAAAGTTAACGTGTATTAACTAGGGTTCCGGTTCTTACTTAAAATCCACGAGGTTTAATCTTAAATGAATTGCGGGGAAATTGATGGACCTATAGGGTTGACGGAAAATCTACACAGACATTACGAGTAGGTTACTTTCGGTCACACAACCGACACTTTTGAGGAGTGACACCGAGTGACGTACTTCGGAAATTAGACTAAAACTAATTTCGTTGTGACGTGGCAGACGAGGGAGAAACGACTTCAACTATACATAACGTAAGTTTATTAGATCGATGATGCATTTCTTATGTGAATAAAAATTAAGTCATGGTATTGTTTGGCTTTTGGTATAAAGTTAAAAGGAAGATAAGTAAAAAGAGGGATGTCATGGATATAATATAGTATTTATGCATCCGTAACTATAGTCTAAGGTGTTATCTGGCTAACAGACCGGACGACTATAATAGAGTTGTAGTTATTTTGTAAACTTTTATTATTGTACGATAGTCGACCTTAAGTAGGCACATAATAAGGTAAATAACACCGTAAAACAAGAAATGACAGTTTACATCATTGTTGAGTAAACACGCACCCGGCAACACCATCCCCCTAGTTTTTGCCATGACAGTTCCGTTGTTTTTGTTTTTTCTAGAAAATTCTCCGCGGACCAAATTAATGTGGTTGATCAATATACACCATAGTACATTTGTATAGTAAAATTTTTATCTTGTAGTTTCAATAGTAACTTAGGACTTTGGACAGTATGCCGGGTAACAGGTTGTGAATGTCTTATTCGTGTCAAGAGACAACTTTATCATGTCAAACAGTATCTCCAAAGTCGTGGATTTCAGAGTATTGGTCCACAAATGTGGACTTTGACTCTAAATTACAGACATTGGAAAGAGGGTATCGCGTGTTTAAAGTCGGAGGATACCACCTCGCCGCTCTACCCCTACCGACTAACAGTCGGTTGTTTTTGTGTCTGCGCTCTATCGACGAATAAACCCGTCGATTATATTATTTCATATTTCATACCAATGGTATGATACAGCGAGGTTTTTTATGATAACAGAAACAAAGATGTTGATCACGGGAAAATAGACACACGACGTGTAAGGACCTACGAGATTGACTGGTGTTCTGACCTTCCGAAACGGTGTTTCTTTTTGTAGTTTTATACTTAGAGTCAAAAATTATGTCTTGTGCCGCTTGGTGTTAATTATATGTATTTTTCTATAAATAAGAAAAATTTCAAATTTATCCCCACGTGTAGTGTGTTGTCATTCGTGGTGGGTAAACCTCAGAGTTTTAAACCAAGTCCCTGATACTGTTTTACGTGTTAAAACCTAGATTAAGTCCAGTTTCACAGAACTAAAGATAATCTTAAAATTCGATTTTAAAAAAGGGATTTTACAAACACTAATCACTCGTTGTCACCGGTTATTGCAATTGTTTGTCAGCAGCTTTAAAATCAAAACTGCTCCACCTGTTAAAAATCTGCTCAAAGATTTTTGGTCAACCTTATCAGAGACTCTATGACTCAGCCTATCATAACAACCTAGTGAGGTTGTCCAACAACATAATCTCTGACCCAAACCATGTTCTGAACAGTGAATATGAACTTCTGCTATCTAATCGGAGATACAGGGTCCCACGATTCAATAAAGTCAGATTGAAGCACTCCTTTGTGCATCAGTCAATCCTCACAGTAAATACAGAGCTAAATCCCAGATCAAATGCACGCTGAAGGTTCTTTGGGCAGCTTTTCTCTCACTGATTGCGTTGTTATGTTAAATGTTTGTTGTTTGTGTTTCATGTATTTTTGTCTGGATATTTGTCTGTTGATGCTGGACATGGAGCTGCTGTGACGCAAGTCAAATTTCAGACTTGATCTGACAAATAAAGTAATATTGTATCATACATTAACACAAGCCTCAACAAACACAAAGGAAAGTAGCCTACATTACTGGGTGCCTGTTGCCTATGCTATTTTGTTAAGGGGTCCTTGGCTGTAAGAAAAGAAAACTAAACCTCTGCTTTAGTTCATAATGCATCTTTAGTGATGTTGACCATTGCAAATCCACATTTTTGAAAATAAGTCAACATCGACCTATGTACAAGACGGGCAACATGGAGGCTGTGGTGCAGATAATCCTGCATTAGGCATGACCATAAACTAAGCCAGACGCCTTTAACCGAAGATACTGGCTCACTGCCTTTACTGTATTTGTTTTCATTCTGGGGATGTGACCAATCACAGTTTAGACTGGGAGGAGACTAGCCCGCCTTCATGTTGGACACGCCTCTATGTTCAGGGAACACCGCTTCATACATACACTGTTGTTAGCGACGTAGCCTCTCCGGCCAATTTCTTTTTTGACATTTCCATTTGCGACCACTTCTAATAACTTCACTTTTTGTTAGGGCCAGCTGAATGCACGAGTAGTGGTTCACTGGGTCAAAGTGTTGCTGGTGGCAGTCCTGCGAGGTAAGTTGAACTAGTGTTAGCTCGTTAGCCGAGCATACCTTTTACTGATGGGGGGTTGGTTGTTGTGCTAACGTAGCATTTTGTTAGCTTATATATAACCTTGCCGAACAGACAAGATAGCGATCTAACACTCCCCACTGTTCTGTGATGATTTAGTATTTTGTTTTATTTTCGTCTTCCAACCAAATAAAATGTGGAGTTTGAGTAGCAGCAACATTAGCGTGCAGTGCCGATAAGTTAGTCAAGCTAGTCCAGGCTAAGAGCGGCGACCATGAATTAGCTGACATGCTAGCGCCGAGCAGACTGACCTGACAACATGCATTTTGTTGTTAGTTCCTCCTTGCTATATATGTTGTACTGCCTGGTGGGAGGTTTAAAATAAAGAATCGTTACTGGCGGACAAGCCGCGTGTATGACAACTAAGTGTTTTTCTGTCAAACTTCTCGCATAACTTGCCGTTAATGCGACGTTAACGCTATGTAGATGCTAGTGCTAGCTAGCTAGCGTTCTTCCCCACATCTAGCATTGCCATAATTTACTCACTAAGTGAATTTATTTTACTACCCTGGTTAAACGGTAGCCCATACGTTATACACGTATCAACCAGCTGTGTTGTCGCGCTGTCAGCTGCAATGAAGCGTGGCTGCTTTCTTTTCGTTATATCTTGTTAGCCAACACGCTCAGCTCATTTGGATTTTTTATAGTAAGTCCCGTTTTACTGAGGACGGTCAGCGATGACCCGAGTGACACACCACCACTCGCTGTTTGTTTCCGCGAAATAGCATTTAATTTGCAGATAGTTTAGGTTAGCTCGCTTGCCACATAACTTTGAGATCGCTCTGAAGCCAACGTCAGAGAAGCGAAAGCGGTCAGCTGCACCGAAAACGGATGGCGTTAAGCTCGGTGTTTGTCAGAGAGGGGGAGGGGATGAGACAGGGCTACAGCGAGCGAGAGAGACAGCGCCTACATGCCTGTAAAGTGTTGGCTGACAGCTAAATGTTAGCTTTTTTTGTCGCGCCAGTCGACACATTTCGCCATATTTTACTGTCTGTCGTATTTGCTTCGCGTTTCGGCAAAGAAAATGTGAAGCTGGATATGCTACAGACTCGATCTCGGCGACTGAAGACCGAACGCTCAGACACCGTGTTTTCCGACACTGGTGGTGCAGAGCAGTGAGGCACAATGTCGGCTCTCCGTTGACCGACTGCAATGACGTTTACTTAGGGAACGTCAAGAAATTAATTTTCTCACGGTGCATGTAGCCTGCTATGAGCCACATAGAAAGATTTCATTTTATTTTAATACTTCGTGCTCTGAACCTTTGCCCAAGGGATCATTTTGTAAATGCCAGCGATCACTTCTTTAAAAATGCAGAGCTCCTTACATTTTAACGTTTTGTTTTATTTTGCTTATTGTAACACTACACTAAACCTAATTCCCTGTACTTGGTCATTCTGATAGACCAGAGCTAAACATATTTGTGTAACTATGCAATCATCATGATCTGAAGAGTTCAAATGTCTGATGGTGTTCTAATTGATCATGGAAATACATTGACATTTGTACTTTACATTTAATAGACTGCCAAAAGTCATTCACAAATTAGACTTATAGAGCATGTGTTTATAATGAACACAGTGTCACTATGATCAATTTTAACTGCTACATCATTTTTGTTTAACTGACCCTTTGTGTCACATTTGACAAAAAGGCTAAATTGAATTTGTTAGCAGGACAAAGAAACCCTGCACACTTAAAGCAATTACTTGAAAGACAGTCCCTAACTGGTTGTCTCAGCCATTCTGGTGAGCAATGATGGACGGGAAACTCATTGTTCGTTTGTTTCCCCCAGAATTTTTCTTTTGTTTGTAATGTTTTTTTCAGGATTTATCATAAAATTGAGAACTAGGTCAAACATTATTGTTCTTCATCCAACCTTTTTAAAGTGTAAACTTCAATAAAGGTTTGAAATAAACATTATTCTTCAGATTTGAAATGGGACTGTGGTGGCTGCCGCATTTACTTTATAAGCTCAATTTGGCAAACCTCACTGTGTACACAGACTAGACCTTTCACAATTTTCCAACACATAACTTTAACAAGAATTGTTATAATTATGGTAATAGACATCATTTGGAATTGAAGAACCGTACTCTTAAAATATAAATAGCTCACTTCTTTCCATTCATATTGATTTGCAAAAGAATGACTGAGTTGACAGCACATTCTTGAAGAATGCTTTGAAATGTGGTTGTTCAGAATAATTTAAACTCAACAACCTGTTAACTGTCAATATATCTTTGTCCAATGTAGCCCCTTTGAGTATGCGTATACAATGAAGAGGCGTGTGGAGGACCAGGAACCGATATTTGCGCCCCAGCAACAGCAAGTACGTCGTCCCCAAGTTCAAGGCATTGCAGACAGCTTCCAGCACCGGGCCCTCGCCCCGGCCCCTACTGTGATAGAGGCATCTGCAGACAACATGCAGCCATCCACCGGCATCCAGTACTCTCTCCCCCAAGGCTACCAGGTATAACTGCAGCAAACAATTTGTCATAGATAACAGCCTCCACAGCAGAATTGAATGATTTATAAAAATGTAGGAACGTTGTAAAAAGAGTCCTTTATTCAGTGTAACATTCAGAACAATTTTAGGAAACTAACAAAGACATAGATACAGGGTTTCCCACACATAGACTTTACTTGGGCGGGCCGCCCAGGTATATTAACTTCCGCCAAAGTATATTTGCGACCCATTTAGGTTTAATTTCTTTGTATCCGTCCGCGAGCACGACGCCATCTACGATCGATTAACTAGTGGACAATGATTCCTCGCTCTACCCCTCCTGTACCATTCTCGGCTACCACCACAAGTATATTTCAGATCTGAGAGAGAGAGAGATATATTTTAAAGCTTATTGATCCTAATATTCTGGTAATTTCCTCCTTTTAAAAAGGTGCCAACATTGCCTCAGAGCACAGGTGGACATGGACACGGACATGGACATAACAACACTGCCCCTCATGTTGGTCCCCATGCACACAGCCTGGCAGTTCAGTCCCAGGGACCCACAGTGGTCCAGGGTCACGTCCATCCACCTGCACCCATGACTTCTACCCAAGGACAGCAGTTTCAGCGACTAAAGGTACAGCTACATGGACAAACAATTTTTTTTAAATTAAACTTAACCTCCAAAGAAAACTAATAAGCACCCATCTTTGCAATGTGTTTTGATAAGTGATAATGAAATCAGCAATTAAACATGTCTCTTAGGCAACGCCCTTTTTGCTGGTTGTAATTTCGTTTTTTATTCTGCATTCAGTGGTTGTAATATTTAAAGGTATCTGTCAAACGTTTTCCCTCTTCACTTCGTAGGTGGAAGATGCCTTGTCCTATCTGGATCAAGTGAAGCTGCAGTTTGGGAATCAGCCACAAGTTTACAATGATTTTCTTGATATTATGAAAGAGTTCAAGTCACAGAGGTGAATTCTTGTTTATTAATTTTCATCAACATTTAAAGAAAATAGTATTTAATATTTATATTACTATCAATTCTGTAGACTACTATTGACAAATACTCATATCTTCCTTATAGTGTTTATTTTACATTCTATATATTTTGGTAAATGTTGTATATACTTTATTCGTTACTTTGCACTTAAATGCTTTTTGCCCTTTTGGTTAGATGCTAGACTGCATTTAATAATTTCAGTACCTCTATTCTTTGCGATAAAAATCTTATCCTGTATTCCAACTATATGTCACATGCAGAACAAATCCTGTGGACTTAGTCAATAAATAAAGAGATATTAAATACTATAATTCTTCCTGTCACTACAGCATAGACACTCCTGGAGTCATTAACCGCGTGTCCCAGCTCTTCAAGGGCCACCCAGACCTCATCATGGGTTTTAACACCTTCTTGCCACCCGGATATAAAATTGAGGTTCAAACCAACGATCTAGTCAACGTAACCACGCCAGGCCAGATCCACTACATCACGCCTCATGGTATTTCTGTTCATAACATCCCTATAAGTGGAGCATCCAGCCAACCTGCAAGCCACAACCAGCACCAGAGTCTGCCACAGGCTGTCCCCCAAACCCCCACCACAACTACCACTGCCCCACCTGCCCCCACCCAACCGGCCCCGAGTAAAACCAGCAAGGTAGGTTTCTATATTAGTTAACTGATCTGAGTTTAATGCACTAACATTTTTATTTTTTTCTAAACTGACACCAGAGTCAGCTTTTAAATTAGTATTACGATAACAAACCACTTTTTAAATTATTCAACATTGTTTTGAAAAGATTTTCTGAGATTTTGTTAACATGTTTTTGTGCCCACCAAACTGAGTCTTTACTCGACGAGTGTGATGATATGCTCTTCTCTTCTCTTTCAATTCCATAAGCCAATTCAGTCTCCAGCCCACACACCCACCAGCCAGCCCAACCCATCCATCCCTTCCTACGCCTCACCGCGCTCACCTTCAGTTCAGTCCCACACTCCTGTGAGCAGCACACCGTCCGCAGGGCCACCTCTCCAAAACAACCAGCCTGTGGAGTTCAACCACGCTATAAATTATGTCAACAAGATCAAGAACCGCTTCCAGGGCCAGCCGGACATCTACAAATCCTTCCTGGAAATACTTCACACATACCAGGTAAGAAAATTCACATCAATAAAATAAACATTCAGCCAGATTGATCAAGTCAGATTTTCTTATGGAGAAATTACTATGGTATGCACCCAGTAGTAATCTCACCACCTCCTTTTTTTTAACTCCCAGAAGGAACAACGAAACGCTAAAGAAGCAGCAGGTAACTACACCCCAGCACTGACTGAGCAGGAGGTCTACACTCAGGTGGCGAGACTCTTCAAGAACCAGGAGGACCTGCTCTCAGAGTTTGGACAGTTCCTGCCCGATGCAAACAGCTCGCTGGTGAGTGCCTGTGGACATACTCCTACACTGTCCATTCTAACTGGACTATTAAAAAAACAAAGTCATATTCATAGTAGTATTTCATTTTAATAAAATATCCCTGAAACCACACATGATACATTTAGGTAGCATCGTACAAAATAAACTATTCTGCTCCTCTCATAGACAATATGTTAGGGGTTGTCAAATGTATTTATCTGTGGTCAAACTAAGCAGGGAAGACCAAGTTAACTTTATTTTGCATGTGAATTATTAATATATGGATGTAATAGGGGTGTAACGGTACACGTAACCGAAATTATTCGGTACGGGCCCTTCGGTTCGGTACACATGTGTACCGAAGTGTACCGAACGAATATAACGTAAAACGTAAACAATTGAGAACCTGAACAACTTTTTGGAAGTAATCTCAGGTGCTGCGTCGCAGCATTCAGAGTAATTTGCTCACATTGGGTTCAACGCGTCATAGAGCAAGCAAGTCATTTCATTGGACGAGAGGCATACTATGAGAGCTGGTCAGAAGGATGCGTTCAAATGTAGTCAGTAATTTGAGGAACTGTCGAAATGGCGAACGCAGATAAAGTTGAGCTCGAAAATCCTCCAGCATCATTGAAGTCTCCGGTTTGGGAACATTTTGGTTTCGCAGTTACGTACAAGGATGACGGACAAAGACAGGTGGACCGAACCAAAGCTGTTTGTCGACATTGCTCAACTAAAATTGGTTACGCGGCTGGCAATACATCAAATTTGTACAGTGCACACTCGTTTGAAAAGGCATTACCCGAACGTGAATATCAATATCGGTACCAAAAGAAAAAGAAAAAAGACTAAAGTGCAAACCCAACTCCCACTAGCANACTCCCAGCTCAAAAGCTTCACATTGTAAGGCACATTACTTCCCAAGATTCATCCAAATGAAATCAGTAGTTTTCAGCTGCGCTATTTGGCGTGTCTGAAGGGATTCAGACACGCCAAATAGCGCAGCTGAAAACTACTGATTTCATTTGGATGAATCTTGGGAAGTAATGTGCCTTACAATGTGAAGCTTTTGAGCTGGGAGTTCCAGGGTTACATTTAACAAACAGAGTGCTACATTATTTGTTTGTTCATCCAAGCTGTGATAGAGATTTAAACCCACGCCAACTGACTTTAAAATGTTTTCTGTGTTCCAGAGCAAACACATACTTTGCTTCTGAATATCTCTGTATATAACATTTATGGCCCAGTGGAGGACCTTTGATATCAAAGGAAGAATGAGTCTTGTGTCCGTTTAAGATTCAGGGAGAGTTGTTGTTGCTTAAGTTCAAGAAAGATCGACTATTTTAACGGTCTAATAAAAGTAAAACAAGGACATTTACCTAGAAGACCAATAATAATAGTTGGACAATGAGGATGGACTTGTTGGCCTGTTGATCTTTTTCCTCCAAATAGAGAGCATATTACTTATGTAATGTTCTGTTTTCTGGCTTCGAGTTACTTATGAAACTTATTTTATATAAGTGTATTATTATTTTTGTCTGTGTCTTTAACTAAAGTATTTCTTATTTTTTTAGTTTAGTTTTCAATCCTCTTATTCTTTGAGAATGTCATTCTAAACTGTTTGCCGATGTAAAGCACTGTGAAAATGCCTCCATTTGAAATTTGAATATTCCATACCATGGGTTGGATGCAATTCCAAGTCAAATACAACTATAACGAAAACAAAAAAACCAACAACTTCCACGTATACAATAGTGGCTTCAGTAAAATGAAATGATGCCATTTATCTGAATTACTGCTTAACTTCTTTGCCACCATATACCTTGGTTGCCATGGTTGCTGTATTAATTGCAGTGATTAGTGTTTACTAAGGTTTTAACATGGATGAATGTACAGTACTGAAGTAGAGTTGCAAATTAGCCCGTATTATGATTAATTGGGGAGTTAAAGGTTAACTGAAACATAATTAAAAGGTTAAAATCTAATCGAAGGCCATTTTCCAGAGAAGTTGCTTTAACCTGCAACAGATGTCTGCCCCCACTTAAAGGACTATTCATGATTAGGTATTTTTTGTTCTAAATGAATCTACAGGTACCTTGTTACTAGCAATATAATGATTGATGACTCAGGATGAAAATGTAATCAATACATTTGCTCTAGATCTTGATACAGATTAGTTTACCCAGGGTGCAGCTGTTCAATGATCTCAACACATTTTCTCTTTGACACGCAGAAAATATATTGGTGTAGTTGTAAGCCTTTACAAAACGCAAAAATAACATTTGTCTTAAAAACCTAGTCCCCTTACTGTATTTCTTACATTATTTGATATATTTTACATTTCCAGGTTCACAAATGGGCTCTATAGGCTGACTAATACACCAATTTGTGAAATTCTTCAGCCACAGGGCTAGAGCACAAACGAACGGCAATAAGGCACTGCTTTGATGTCAGGAAGCTAGGGAAGTCTGAACCGAGCCGCCCATCCTCAGACCCTCAGTCAAGAGTTCCCTGCATGGTATGGGACCTACACTGCCGACAGCCATCAAGCTCCACAGTGTGGCAGAAGGGCCAGCACACCACTGAGGCCCCAGGCCCACGAGGACGCATAGGATTAACGCAAACGCAATCGCAAAAAAGCTTTCGTCCACACGCAATATTCACCGTATAGTGTCTTTCCACACCATAGAGTGTATATATAAATGGACGTAGGGTCCGTGACGTCACCCATAGGATTCTGCAGAGTTGACAAGAAGCCCTTAGTTGGCGGAGGCGGGACCTGCTGCCACCGAGCTGAAAGTTCCAGAGCTAGCTGAAGCTACCAAGCTAAGCTAACATGCTCCCGATCTGCACACTGCCGTGGCATTTTACGTTTCTAAGGTAAGCGGACATGAAACTATTCAGCAAAACTATAAATAATAATCTAAGTTATTGAGTTTTTAGCATAATACTTCAGAATCTTAAAATCCCTTAACGTTTGTATGCAATTGTGTTAAATTCAACACTGGAATCAAGCAAATATTAATATGTTTGCTTGACATTAGTTATTTAAATGTTATATCACTTAACTATACGTTTAATACATTTAAGTCAAGCTAAGGTACATGTGATGGTAGCTAGTTAGTGCTCTTACCTGTGAGGCCTCCTCCAAACAGCATAATAACCAGACTGTATCATTAAAACTAAGTACCAGTTCTCGATCCTTGACTTTAGACAAACAATTCAAAAGACAACATGTATTTAAAGACCAATCTTTATTTGAATGTGCCTCTTAACCTGATATATTAGTTATACAGTAATAGTATTGACAATCTAAAAAAACTGAGCAACTCAACAGTCAACTTTATGTTTCTTATTGTCTAAAGCATTTATTATTTTCATTTTCCCCCTCTCATATTCAGTGTGGACGGATTGAGACAGCGTGGTGTCCAGAGAGCTGCTGAGAGTTCAGGGAGAAACCTCTGTGTGATGGATGTCCTGTCTGTTGGTTTGGAGAGGACTGAGGGTCTTTCCTCAGCGAGGAGGACCAGGCCTGATGGAGGAGCCCAGCTGATACCAACTGCACAGGCCTAGTCTGTCACTTTATTTGACTAAATGTGTTTACTTATACATTTAATAGGTTTACACCTTCTGTCCATATGTGCGTTTTATTTAAAACATTTGATTAACTTTTGGTTCACATTTCAATAAATTGTATTTGTATTTGCACTCCTTTTGTCCATTATTCTTACTGAAAATGTTAGATTACACATTCACATCTGACTGAAGATTGGCCCNCCAAGCTGAGTGTTTTTTCAAGGCTCAGGAAACCCTTGCAGGTGTTTCGAGTTATTTAGACGATTCAAGTGATTCGTTGAACACCCTACTAGTACACTTTTCATGATATTCTAAATATTAGAGATAGATATTTGAGTTTTCCTTAAGCTGTATGCCAATAATCAGCAAATATTAAAATAAATAAAAGGCTTGCAATATTTCAGTTGTATTTGTAATGAAATCCAGAATGTATGGACATTTTTTGTTTTTTTTAATTGCCATTACAGAAAATAAAGAACTTTATCACATATTCTAATTTTCTGAGACAGTCCTGTATATCAAGTATATATATATATCTGCATTCTTCAAACGTTTTAACATTTTTTAAGTTTGTTTCATAATTTTTGTTCTAAATGTCCTTGTTTAAACTTGTTTTTCCTTTTACTGTGTTTCTTTTTTGGTATAACCTTCTTGCACCTTGATTCTGATAATACTTTAATGTCATGGGATACCCTACATCATTAAAACAATGTTTTCTTGATTGCTTCTCAGTCCCAAAGACATACAGTTTGTCAGTTAGTAAGTGAAACTAAGGTCCGTGCATGAATGTATTAAAGTCACTTAAAGCAGCCATTGATGAAATTATCCAAAGTTTAATTTATGTAAATATGTATCAACATTGCGTGAGAAGAGGAACAGTGCAAGAAAAACCACAAAGATGTAAAAGTAAACATTGTTTTTGTTTTCTTATAAAGTGACTCTGATGTCATTTAAAAAAAAATTAGGCTCTTTTCCATATTTAGCATAATGCTTCTTTTAGTTTCCACAACAGCAGCATTGACAGCAGTCTGCCCTTCAGGTTGGGTGTTCATGAAGGCTTGCTGCCCTAAGTGCTCATTAATTAAAGGCTCAAGTAATTAGTCCCATTAGAGCACTAATAGTGAAATGTATCATGGCAGTGGAAGATGGCTTGATATTGGCCTTGTTAGCCAGCATTATATCAGGTAGAGGCTGCAATCATATGAAGTATTGAGCATAGTCCTGCTTGACAGTATGCATGCAAAACCAACTCCAAGTGTTAGAGGCGAGCGAATCGTCAAAAACCTGAAAGTGTCGTGTCATATCATCTGAAAACTTAAAGGTGGGGAAAGGCAAGTTTGAGAAACCGGCCTCGAGATACACCTTTTTGTTATTATTCCATGGAATGCTCTTAACATCTCGATAGACAATGATATCTGAAAAGTGGTTTGACAATAATCCATACAAAAATGTATCTGTGGAAGCCCGTGGCTCTGTAAAAAGCACGACGTCATCATCTGGAGCCGGACCGGCTAAAATAACTGGATGCCTTACCCTGCCTGTCCAGTCCTTCCATCTGTGCACAAACTTATCTCGTGGCCCTCAAATTAGGCGCGTTCACACCAAGTACTTTTTCCCACAAAAGTTCTGAGAACTACGATTTAGTTGCCGTTCCCCCCACACCAAAAAGTCCCAGGAACCTAAATTAGGTTCTAAGAACGCTTTTTTACCCCCTTTTCAGTCCTGCTAGAGAGCAGGGACTTTCGTGGGGGAAAAAGGTTCCTGTGTCACTGATTGGCTGGGCGGAATGCAAACAGGCCCTGTCAACCTCCCAAAAAACGTTTGTGAAGCCGCCATTTTTATTATCCCCAGCATTAGCATTATTAAATTAGCATTAGCCCAGCGCAGAAACGCAGAGAGAACTAAACTTTGACAACCCAAAATAAAACATGGGAGCGGTGGAGATGAGAGGTGTGGGCGTTCTGGCCGTTTACTCGGAGGCTTCAGTAGAAGCTGCTGGACTCCCAGCAGCTTCTACTTGAAGCCAGTCCCTAACTCCGGGGAACTTCCGGCCGGGGATTTTGGGGTGGCAGTATACGGCGTGAAGTTGTTTTGCGGCCGTGCCAGTAAACCTCCAAAGCAGAAGAAGAAGAAGTGACGTCAGAGGCTTCATTTGCGTAATCCACCCCCAGGAACTAATTTCCGGTGTGAACGCGATCTGTACTTAGTCCACGAGAACTAAAGAGTTCTCAGGAACCTTTGTGGGAAAAAGTAATTGGTGTGAACGCGCCTATAGGTCATGTGCGTGTTTGTGTGTGTTGGAGGAGGGGCTCTGTAAGGAAGTGGCAGATTTTCCTACCCCACCTTTAAGCGAAAAGAGGGTCCAATATCATTTATGACTTTGCTGATTGAAAAGCAATTAATATCATTTTCAAAATCTAACTGATAAACATAAGATAAACTTTAAAGTGTTAAACTTGAGAATGGGATTTTCTGTGGTGCTAGAACGAGTGTTTTATTGGCTTTATAGGCTGAGTGTCAATGGGAGTTATTATGGTTGAAAGTAAAAAAAACCTGTCTAAGAAATCATGTAGATAGCTAGACATGGTGTGTAATTTAAAGCGCAACCCTGATTCTAAGTGAACAGATAGAAATAGCATGTGCAGAGGAGGTGAAGTGTGGTAATTCTTCAGTGCTCTGCAATTCCACAAATATGATTGGATTGAGCGATAGAAAAAACACACACACACAAAGAATAGCATTTAGACAAAGCGCAATGTTGAGTGTAGAGATAGCGTGAGCAGGATAGGTGGCGGGGGGGATTGTGTTGAGCCATCCATGGTGAGAGAGCGAGTGTTTTCCTGCTCCGAGAGAGGGGAAGAATAGTCGCCGGGCAGATAGATGGAAGGAAAAGCGTTGCTGTGGCACTGATAAAGTGACTGAGGACCACTACTGCCACACTTGGACAATTCCAGACACAATCTTCCCCCCTTTTTTCTTCTCTTTCCTCGGCTGCCAACCCCC